TCGGAAGTTGGGAACAAAATCACCTTTAACTTGTACCAACAGGCGGGGTTGTTTAATGTAAGACGGACTGTTTGAAGAAACTGGTATCTACAGGATGGTTTGTTGTACATTCTGCCTTCATGTGTGTATAATACAGCGTGGGCGGGGGGAAGGTGGAGTTTTGGTGATAGACCACACCTTCCTGCTTTCTATTTTGTACGGGCCCTCCCTAAACACCACTGGAGAAAAGCCCAAAAAGCCTAAGACAAAGGAAAATAGCGCAGCTGTTAGCAGTCTGCTGATAATGCGCTCATTGGGTGTTACCAGGCCTGCCCTAAAAAGTGCCTCATCTTCAAGGCTGGGGGGAACACCAACAATGCAGTCACTGCAACAATTGATGTGGTCCGGTAGCTGGGGCTAATTTAAACTCAACACAAAGCCGTACATTACTGAAACAATTAACATTTTTTCGTGTACAAATGGTCACCTAAAGGGCTTAAAAAAAAAACTGATGTAAGACTTTTTTTATAATTTTACAGGTGAAGCAAAGTTACCGTCAATAACACCTGGGCTTCCAGGCTGCTTTAACGTTTACAGAGAACATAATAAGCATGATTCCTAAGAAAGCACATTCCGGTCATGTCATAAATTTCAGTCAGCTGATTCATTTTCTGTTTACCACCGCCGCAACCGTTAGACAACACCTTCTACCTGCTGTGCTCGCAGTAATAATCTTTTCACATTTCTTTTTGTCTTAAAGTCCCAGAAATTAATAAATTCCTTTTAACCCTTTAAGCCTCACATCCTCAGTTATAATGTTAACATATTTAACAATGTGGGTGCAAAAAAAAATCAATTTTCTTTGTATTTTTGTATCAAATCCCATTATTGCTCGTTTCCTCCTGTAAAACAAAATGTGACGCTGCTACGGTCACCATGAATAACGCATTTCAACAAATAAATATATCCTGACATTCACCCGTCAATCAGTCTTCTCCTTCAACTGAACGGGGCTCAGCAGCCTCCCAGTGAACACAACCTCCGAGACTGACAGTTTGACGACAGCGGTACCGAGGTGATTTATGGAGTTTGCAGATTGACTCGTTGCTAAAATTTCTATAGTACAAACTCTCTGACTATACACATTGTCCAGTGATAACAACAACAACAACAACAACAACAACAACTAATGATAGAAAAAGCCCCTTCACTGACCTGAAGGGTGAGCTCTGTGAGCGATACGCAGGGCTGCGGGGTTGGTGTGGATCCCGTCTGCTATCATGCCATAGTAAACCGTCCTGCCTGCAGGAACCTGATCACTGGTCAGCAGACCCACAATACCAGGGTCCCGATGGTGGAACTGGATCACGACACAGGAGAGGACAGAAGATGCTATAAATAACGATAATGATCTAACCAGAGCTACAAAGAGCCTGGATATGGATATAGAAGAAAGCGGCCCGAAAATGTGATGCAGCAGCTTCCAGACGTTGTCCTACTAGACACGTTTACAGATGTTAAGATGTTAAGAGTGTGCAGTGGAAGGATCATGTGCACAACGAGGGTCTAAAAGAGGATGAGGAGGGACTCACAGGCAGCATGGCGTTGAAGAGGTGAGTGATGAAGGAGGCTCCGTGCTTAACAGCCTCCTCAGCTTGGGCCAGGTTGGCCACAGAGTGACCTACAGGAGGGAAGTGTTCAGTTAATCCACACTCCCACGGCTGATCTGGCTGTAACGTTATTCTAAATATGATGATGAGGACGCTGACTGCAGTTCATTAAAAAACCACGAGTGGTTTTATAAAAGTTACATATACAGTGCATCCGGAAAGTATTCACAGCACTTCACTTGTTTCCATTTTTCCAATTTTGCTTCTTATTGTCTGAGAGTTCTTCAGGTGCCTTTTGGTAAACTCCAGGTGGGCTGTCATGTGCCTTTTACTGAGGAGTTGCTTCTGTCTGTCCACTCTACCATACAGCTCAATTTTGAGTGTCATGGCAAAGGCATGTACATTAGATTTCTTCGTTTTTTATTTTTAATTAATTTGCAAATCTTTATGGGGTATTGTGTGTAGAATTTAGAGGGAAAACAATTAATTTAACCCATTTTGGAATAAGGCTGTAACTTAACAAAATGTGGAAAAAGTGAAGCACTGTGAATATTTTCTGGATGCACTGTAGGTCCTTTAAATTTTAGGTGCAAACAATCAGACTCATCACCACAGAGTGAGTAAACGATGCTCACCTAAGGACACGGTGATGCCTCTCTTGGAGAGCTCCCTCACCACCGATTGGCTGCTGGCCAGCTCGGGAGCCAGCGTCACCATGGCGACATTGTCCAGGCTGCCGTAGGCCTCCATCAGGTCCTCGATGCCTCCAGACTGGAAGGTTCGGAGGAACTGCTCCGGGTGAGCTCCTTTCTTCTCCAGGCTGATGAACGGACCCTCCAGATGAAAACCTGCAGACAGAAACAGCAAATAATCACATTTATATATTTATATTTATATTGAATGTATCTGCTAACAGCTATTGTGTGTGTGTTAGTACTTCATACAAACACATGTCAAAATACCCGAACAGAGCGGCCTCCACTAAAAGAAATCTTACCAAGAACTCCAGCTCCATGAGCTCCTCCATTGTGAACTTTGACCTGAGGCAGAACCTGGAACACAATCCACAAAATACATTTTAAAAGCCAATAAGTTTGTCAAAAATACTCTCAGAAGCACACGTGGAAGGTCTGTAACTGGACTGGTCGAACAGTCAGTGAGTCAAGGTTATTCATGCTTTTATTTTATCGCATCTGGACTACTGCAACTCTCTCTACACCCGCCTCAGTCAAAAATCAATCTCACATCTCCAACCTGACCTTAACAAACAACCCCCACATTATAATAAACTAAACTAAAAACTAACACTGAGACAAA